TAGGACGACTCACTCTCGTCCTCGCTGTCGTCATCATCATCATCATCATCATCTGGAGGTGGAGGAGGAGCCTGCTTCTTGCCTTTCTCAGGCTGCTTCTTCTTGGGTGAATTCTTCTTGGGCTCCGGCTTAGATGGCGTCTTCTTGGCATGCGATGGAGGTGGATGTGCTGGTTCACGTGGCTGCTTGGATCCTGAGGGACTCTTCATCGTCTCGGGTTCACGAATTGCCATGATGCTCCAATACCGGATGTCGCTGTAGGGATTGGTCCTGCCGGAGGTGCAGTGATGCGGTGTGAACCTCCATGGCCATACCACCAGTGTTGACCATCGCTGTACCACCAATGTCCATAGACATCTTGTTCCCATCTCAGCTGCGACATGGCCGGGTACGGCTGAGTGTATGCTGGTGGAGCTGGCATTTGTGGCGGTGGCATCGAAGGTGTCCAGCCTTTACCTTTGCCACCCATGCGCCTCGCTGGTCCTGCCGGAGCTGACCGTGTTGATCCAGGAGCGCCTTGTGGCGTTCCATGGACTGCACCCTCGGACGCTGCCGAGTCCCTTCTTGGGGTCACCGCAGGTGACCCCTCTCCAGGCGCAGCCTGGGTCTGAGAGGATGCGTCCTCCCATTCTGGATGGGCAGCCGCCCCCGAGCCTGCATGCTCGGCCATCAGCCCCCGATCGAAGATCAGGAGCTCCGCTACCAATGCGGAGTGCGCAGGGTAGCGTAAGCTAGAAAGAAAACACGGGGCAACGCGCAAGAACAACACGCAGTGTTTTCTACGCTGATCGCTTGTGGCAAGCTGCGGTGCGGGTTCATACATATATGCAATCATGTCAAGCTACCTATCTCTACCTAGCTACGATCTTCACAATCTGTTCTTTTCTTGTACCGAAGCAAATGCAAACAAAGTTGAGAAGCACGAAGGCCTTTTCACGTTCTTCGCTGGGCAGCCCTAGATGTCTCCTATGCAACCCAAGCTGCTGTGAAATGGTTGAGCAGCTTCCTTGGCAGTTCCCAGCTAAACAGCTATGCAAAAGCCATGATATTCTAAACTTGATCTCAACATACCTCGACAACGACTATATAGCCTGTGTGGCTTTCACTTTGTGCGAACAAGTTGCAACAAAAGTGTGTTCTCCTTGACCATGACCTTATTGGAGAAGCGTTGCGGCGCAGTGAGCAGAACTTCTCATGCCAACTCCAGATTCGACTTCCTTACAAAAGGGGGCCCTTAGCTTTGGAAATGTCGAACTCTGCTATCCAATGTTCCTCTGCAAGTTCCACTTGCAAAACTCGTGTGGGCTCGCAGAACTGTGTTTTTGCTGATGTTTGCTGCTGCTTCATGAATGGATGGCTCTCCTACTACAGCAAAAGAACCATGTTTCAAGCTTCACGTGTCAGTTAGTGAGAGGACAGGGAAGGGCCTGTTCAAGTGGTTGGTTGCCCCTAAAATAAAGAACAAGGTGCATGTCGGATGTTGATACAAACCGAGGAAACAAATGGAACAAATGAAAAAGGACACCAAGTTGGTGGATGCCTTTGTTTTCTGTGGGATTGCACAAACTGATTGTTGACAGTTTCAAAGTTTAGCCAACTCCGAAATCCCTGTTCTTACTGAGAAAAAATGTTTATATATACACACATATTTGTGAATCGAGAAAAGTCGAGCACCTCGGAATGCGATCCACCTTCGAATGTGACGAAGACACAACGCCGACATACGGTGTTGGCTCAAGGGCCCAGGAACACGGACGATGGACGCACCTGAAAAAGGTGTGCGGGCGGATCGGAGGACCGGTCGGTGACTTTGGTAGATAGATAGGAGTTTAGGACTGTAGGACGGTCGGAAGGCAAGGAGGCTACCTTTGTTGCTCCAACCGGAGCTACATTGGTAGCGGAGCCTGACAGGCCCGTAGTGGACTTCGGGAAGCCATGCCGAAAGAAGCTGCCGGTAGTGATGACAAGTCCAATGCAATTTGGACGCTGCTGCCTAGTTTCGATCCCAGCACTGACGACGTGAAAGAGTACATAGCAAAGGTTCGATTTCTGGAGGGCATTTGTCCTAAACGGGACAAGACGATGTTGGCGCCTAGACTGGCGATGTTGTGCAAGGGGACTGCATGGCACCAAGTCAGGAACATCAAGCCCGAGGATTTGACCAATGCTGAACAAGGTGTGAAACACCTGCTGAAAGCGCTGTCAGCCTGGGAGGAGAGTGCAGAGTTGAGAACGTTCGAACTGTTCGAGAGAGCAATTTACAAGACCACCCAGAAGCAGGACGAGAGCACACAGTCATTCGTAAACAGGTTGGATGTTGCTTTTGAAGAAGTTGGATCTGACACAACGTTGAAAACGGTGGTCGCGTTCGTATTGCTGAAACAGAGCAGTTTGAGCCATGAAGACAAGAAGAAGATCTTGACCATGACCAACGGCAATTTTGACAAGGATGCAATAGCAAATGCTATGAGGAGCCTGTCGACAAGTGTTCTTTCAGGACCAGGGTCGGAGAAAAAGAAGGTATACCCAACCAACTACATCGAGGACAATCAGGATCCCGAGATGTCCGACCAATCAGGGCTGGATCAAAACATTCTGGCAATGCAAGCTGACGATGATGACATGTCGCAGGAAACATTGGAACAGCTGGTATTGGCCGGAGACGCAGACGCCCTGACGGTTCAGTCGTTTGAGCGTGAGTTGACTGACCTCTTTCAAGAGGTCCCAGACCTTCATTCGGCTTTGATCAGCTACCAAGAGGCCAGAGGCCGTATAGTGGAACGGAAGAGAAACAGGGGATAAGCTGGAAAAGGGTTTGGCCAATCGGGCCAAAAGGGGTTCCGAAAGGGACAATCCAAGGGCAAAGACGAGTTGCTGGCACGAATCTCGAGGACGCACTGCAAACGCTGTGGAGAGCTTGGGCATTGGAAAGCAGAATGTCCCATGAAGACCGAGGAGTCGCAAGCAAATGTTGCTTCAGCCCAAGCCGCAGATTCCGCACTGTCGGAGCAAGTGCTGATCGAAGAGATTTCGTCAGAGCCAGAGGTTGGGGAAGAAACGAAAACCAGTCAACAGACACCAGATTCGTTTTCAAAGCATGATTTTGCAACCGAAGCCGAAGCCTATTTTTCGGAAGCCATCGTAGAGAAAACCAGAGAGTTTTTCTTTCACCGAAAAGCCGTCGGACAAGCATCGTTCAGGAAGCCTTCAATGCCTCCGCAGATTCGTCCAAGCGCGGAGAACGAAGAGGGGCTTATCAGTAAGGCTGGCCGAACGACAGGTTTCGACACGAATGGAATGGCCATCCTGGACACTGGTGCAAGCCGTAGTGTGATAGGAGATGCAAATCTCCCAAAGCTCATGAACCAATTGCCACCCGTTGTCCGAAGCCGTGTAAAAGAACAAGCCAGCCGAGTTGCATTTCGCTTTGGAAACAACCAGATAGAGCATAGTTACAAGCAAGTTCACATCCCAATAGATAATAAGAAGATAAGAATGTGGCTGATAATTGAAGTGGTACCCAAACAGACGCCTTTCCTCCTGTCGATTCAAACGATGAAACGCCTGGGAACTGTGATTGATTTGCATCATAGCACGTGTTTCTTGAAGAGCATGAATCGTTCAGTGAAGTTGCATGAAGGCAAAACAGGTTTGCTCATGATCAATGTGAAAGATTTGTGCCAAGAAGCCGTCGAATGTCACAGCGTTTTTGGAGCAAGCAGCAATTCGAAAGCAGACTCGCATTTCGTTGAGCAAAATGCCAACCCGAGGGGAAATGCTGCACATGGTGAAGAGCATTGCCGAACATGTCGTTCAGTCACTCCAGACACTGCTCATGATCCTTTTGAATCAGGTGGCAACTCAAGTCTCGAATCAAGAGGTTCCATCGGAACAGGTGACCATGATGAGCGAGTT